TGGGTGTTAAGTCATGTGTCTGTTTGTGGGATTTGAATGTGAGTGTGCGTGCGTGCGTGTGTGTGTGTATTCATGTGTGTGTGTGTGTTTTCAGGTTTCAATTTGGGTGTGTACTTCTGCTTTTTGTTCTCTACATGTACCATCTTATAAAACGTTCCCCTTGTTGTGACAATATTGTGTTGTTCCCCAGAAAAATTCCAGCAGAACATCAAGTCACCTCATTACTGTAAAACCAAGTCAAGCAATGTAAATTTTGCCATCGACCACTTTGCAGGCAAGGTAAGCGTATAAGTAACATGCTGTTTGGTCTACAGTCATGGTTGTTCTACCGATCACCTGTCCAAGATAGTCAAACTTGCTCTAACGATCACCTGTCCAAGACAATCACCTGAACAATTTTAAATTTTAAAAAAGGGAAAAAGCCAGTCACTTCCCATATCTCGTCGTGCTTTTAAAAATAACATTTGTAATGGCACTGTCAAGAAGACTGTCTAAGGTAACAATTTTTCTCCCCGGCAATCGATGGTTGTCCTGGACCAGTTTGACTGAAATCAAGAGTTAAAACAATGGTTGTTGCTACGAGTGAATCACCAGAGCTGCTGAGAGGGAAAAGAATAGGGTCAAATAAAACAGAAGATGGGAAGAGGACATACAATTCTGAATTGGAAAGAAAACAACTCAAACTGGTAGGATGGCAAGAAACAGTGTTATTTTCAGAAAGGCCTGAGAAGTAATGGCCAGCAATTAGAAAGGCTAAAAAAAGAAGATCTCATATATTCTGTAGAAACAGCGTGAATTGTCTTCCAAATTATTTTTCTGTTTTAGTTTTCACTCTTCTGGAGATTTGATAATGTAATAAATTATTGATCTAAGGGTTATCTGTGCACAATAATCACATGTTGAAACAATCTTGTCTCAGTTCCCTCCCTTGCATTTTTAAAGTATTGTAGTGACATTGCCCAAGAAGTCCACCTTTCAAAGACAACCACTTTTCTTCTCAGCAATGGATGGCTGTCTTGGGCAATTTCAACTGTGTTTGTTTGTTTTTGTAAAGTGTTTTACGGTGCTCGCAACTGCATAAGGTCATATGAGCGTGCGGGACACACCTAATATTTTCAGTTGGTAGGAAATTTAGAATTTTGCCCGGGTGGCGGCCGAAGCCTACTCTTATCGGTTTTAGACCTTGCACACGGGCCCTCCGAGATTTTTTGCCCTTGTCCGAGAAGGCTAGGTGTAGATTTTTCCTACCAGAAGATCAGGGGGGTGGCTGAAAGACAGCAGTAAGAAGAAGCCAAGGAGTAGCAGTAGAAAGGCTGCAGAAAGAATCAGGAGCCCAGAGGAAGGGGCAAAGGGA